CCCCGTGCCCTTCCCCGCACTCACTGCGCACCGTGACGTGGAGCCGGGCGCTGCTCTTCTTCACGTTCCCCCCCTGGGATCACACCTGGCAGCTGTAATTCCCTGAGTGGGAGACCCCCACAGTGGGCACCAGCAGCTTCGGGGACCCCTGTGGGACCCCACCATCTGCATGTCCTGGTAGAACACGTGCAGGAGGGAGAGTCTGAGCCGCAGGGAGTCGGGAGTGCTGAGGCAGATGAGGTACAGGGGGGACCCCTGGATGGGCTCGGGGGGACCCTCCAGCACTGGCACTGGGAAGAGCTCTGGGAAGGAGAGGGGAGGTGAGGACTGTGACTTTGAGTCCACTGGGAAGTGGCTTTGGGGGTGTCAGGAGTGGGGACTGGATGGGGATGAGGCTGGGTGGGACAAGGTGTGATTTGGAGTTCCCAGGAGTGGGGTGCTCAGGGGGTTTGGGGAGGCAGGGATGGGGATGCTGGGGGAATGGGGGATCCCGTGGGAATGGGGGTCCTTGGCCATGCAGATCCTGGGGAATATCAGTACTGGGTTGGGGGCCCAGGGATGGGGGATAAAAGGAATGCGGTCCCATGGTTTGGGGACCCTGGGGAATGGGGTTGCCAGGGATGGGCAGTGGCTGGGTGGGCCCCGGGGTCTCAGCTCCTACCCTGGGTGCTTCAGACTTTGGGGTGACCCAGGGCCCAGCAAAGTCCTCCCAGGGTGCTTGTGGTTTGGAAGGGTCTCCCCAGGTAGATTCTGAGAGGGTCTGGCTTTGTGTCCCCCATCCCCCAGGGTCTTTTTCCTCTCTTCATTTCCATTTCCATCATTTTCCCCTCCATTTTACAACCCCCCAGTTCGTGCCTTGATGATCCTGGGGGGCACCTGAGCAGGGAATGTCCTGGGGGAAGGCCAGGGTGGGGGAAGCAGGGGTGAGGGGTCTGCAGGGAGGGCTGGGGAGGCTGTGGGGGATGGGGGTGTAACTCTGTGCCCCCCAACACTTTCTCTTTCTCTCTCCGTCAGCAGAAGGAAGTGGTAGATTGTGCTGAGTGTCACACGGGGGTGGGTTCTGTCCTGGGGGGCACATCCAGGGGGTCCTGTCCTGGGGGGGATCCTGTCCCAGGGGGACACATCCGGGAAAAGGGAGTCCTGTCCTGGGGGATGGAGGATGCAGGGAGGTCCAGACTTCTCCATTCTTGCTCAGGAATTCTTGCAGGTCCCCTGCAGGATCTGAGCCCTGGGCAGGAAGGAGCCCCCAAACTCCTGATCCCTGAAGCCAGTGGCCATCCAAGGGTGGGCCCAGCCATGGCCCAGCCCCA